CACACACACACACACACACACACACACACACACACACACACACACACGCCCAAATCAGCAAACACAAGACTAGCATGCCTGTCCTAGCGGGCTTTCTATTGCTGTGATAAAGACCTTGATCCAAAGCAGCTTGGGGAGGAAAGGGTTTATTTGCTTGACACTTTCTGGTCATAGTCTATCATGGAGGGAAGCCAAGGCAAGAACTCAGGCAGGGCAGGAACCTGGAAGCAGGAGCTGATGCAGAGGCCATGGAGGGGTGCTGCTTACTGGCCTGCTTCCCATGGCTTGCTCCCTCTGCTTTCTTACAGAACCAAGGACCACAAACCCAGGCATGGACACAGTCAATGGGCTGGGCCCTCCCACATGAACCACTAATCAAAAAAATGCCTTATAGACTTGTCTACAGGCCAGTCTGGGAGAGGCAATTCCTCAGTGGTCTTCTTCCAGAAGACCCTGGCTCGTGTCAAAAATACTAATCAACACAGTAAGTATAAAAGATAAAATAACAAAAATATTAACATCATGAAATAGAATTCTGAAACGATAGAGGCTTCATGTCTCAAGCCATTATGATGCGTGAGTAACATTAAAGGGTAGAGATGGCACAAGTTTCAAAGTCAGTGGCAACAAAGAAGTGATTTTCAAAGTACAGCATATTTCTTTTCAAAAACAAACTTACTATTCTTTATAAAGCATTATATAGCAATAAACTAACTCAGAGTTTCCCACACCCTAATGCAAACTGGCTAAGCCTAATCACAAAGGCCTAATCTTTAATCTGTCAAGAGAAATCCTGAAAATGATTAAAGGAAAAGACAATCTGGAGAGTAATATGGGTAGACACAGAAGGAGCAATCAGTGAGACTGAAGAAAATCAAGCAGCTCTCCCGAGGTGGGGGAAAAAAAACCCAAAATCAAATAACAATTTAAGCTGATACATGCATTTGACAGGTGAGGTAGAAGAATCAGAAGTTCAAGGTCACACTAGGTTACATAGGGAGTTTGAGACACACACACATACACGAACCAAATTATTTATACATATATGTACAATGTACATGTATAAGTATATGCATGCGTGTATCTTAAAGTGGCATTAGACTTCTCAAAAACAATGCTGGCCACCAAGAGACAACTATATGACATGTGTAACATACATGCATATATTAAATTGAGAAACATGGAGGCAAAGAGCTAGGGTAATACTCAGATAACAGAGGTTGTGAAGAGAAAAAGGTGATGGAAAGAACAAAGCATTAAACAAACAATGGGCAAAGGTTTACCCAAGCTTCTGAGAAGTGTCGTAATATGGGAGGGAAATTACACGGAATGCCAACAGGACACACAAGGAAGAGCCGTTCAAGATGTACATATCCTACTATTTTAAAATTCAAGGAAACTGGATACAAAGGGAACACTAAGGACTTTCAGGGAAAAAGACCCATTACCTTAAAGAAGCAAGAACCAAAGGAAGTGACGCCCGACACCTCAGCATCAACGCTGATAATGACACCATAGAGAGACAATGTGTGACTTTCCTAACATACTCAGGGAACATCCTTAGAACAAAATGATATGTGTCAGGTTTGAAGACATGGCTCAGCGGCTGAGAGCGTACTGTCCTTCCAGAGGACTAGGGTTCAGTTCCCAGCACCCACATCAGGTGGCTCACAAGTACCTGTAAGTCCAGCCCCAGGGGAACTGATGTCCTCTCTGGCCTCCTTGAGCACCGCAGTCATGTGCACACATCACACACACATACACACACACACAGAATGAAAACCAAACTTAAAAGCAAACCAAAAAGCAGGCGGTGGCCCATATTTAGTTCACAGTCTGCAGCTTGCCAGGGTCTGAGGGGAGTACTGGCTAGAGGGAGTACACGGATACACTGGACATAGGATGGTACAGGCCTTGCTGAGCTCACAAAATTTGAGCAGGGACCTGACAGAGGACAAGTTACAAGCTCCTGGCAAAGGGAAGAGAAATGCTACGGCCAAAGAGGAGGGAAGAGACAGAAGAATGGCTAGCAGGAGCCTGGTCACAGGGCCTTGTGGTGAGGCTGAATGCAGTGTTGTAGCAAGCCACTGTGACTTGGCATCTAGTTGCTGAGACCCTGAGCGAGATGAACCTTTCCACAGCCATCATTCCTCATCAAAACAGCTTAAATAAATTACAGCTACTATAGAGGGTGTTACAGGACTCAATGACAGCTGTCAAATAAGCATTAGCTAGCACTGGAGTCCAGCTGGAGGCGCCAGGAGATGAGAGCAGCAAACGACATTTATCCAACTCACCCACAATGTCCACCACATCCGGCCGGATGAGCGGCTCCCCACCCGTGAGACGGATCTTGTCCACACCTTCCTTCACAAAGAGCCGAGCAAGGGTCAGGATCTCCTCTGTCGTTAGGAGGTCAGCTTTGGGGGTCAGAGACACACCCTCCTCAGGCATGCAATACCGGCCTGAGGTGAAAAAAGGGGGATGAAAAGGTAGGCGATAGGGTGGCAGGCAGGTGAAGATGTCCGTGCTCCTTAACAGGCTAACAGTAGTCCTGAACCCCATCTGAGAGGTACAAACTTATTCATACTCCTCACCTCCTTGTAATCCAGCCTTACTATCCCTCCATCAGGAAGGTGAGGGTATGGGTAAAAGATGATAAACTAGAAGAATGGAAATCCTGGCTCAGAGCAGGGTCATGTCTGAGATACTGGCTCCTTCAATCTGAGGGCACCCGGGCAGTCTAGAAAGGCCAAGGCCTTGGGCCTGTGTCTGACACCATAGTCCATTCTCGTTCAATCTAGCTGTGGCAAAGTTTCCTCTTTTGCCCAGGTCATGAGATGAAGACAATACTTTGGCGTGGTGAAAGCCACTGTCCTCTGCTACCGCAGTATCCGCAGGTCCAACGGATGCACAGACTTGCATCAGGCTGGAAAACCTAGAGGTTCTTTTTCAAGATGAAGGAGCAGATGAAGGTAAAGAGGTGAGCTGTGGAGGCAGGGGCATGGTTTCCTACCATCACTTCCTGCAAGTCACCTTTATCAGGAGTCAGGCTAGATCTGCTAGACTCACGGCATGCCCATCCCTATGGATGGGCTGTATGTGGCCCAGACAGCTATCAGCACAGCCCATTGCAAAATCACAAACAAAACATTGTGAGACTTTTTACAGTTCTGTGTGTGTGTGTGTGTTCATGTGTCTTTGCAAGCGCATGTGTGAATGTACAGGTGAAAGGTCAACGTGGAGTATCTTCCTCAGTCACTCTGTATCTTATTTTTGGAGACAAGCTCTTACTTTTATCGAAGCCTGCTGGTTCAGCTAGGATAGCTGGCCAGGGATGGGGTCCCCCTACCTCTGCCCTCCCAGCACTGGGATTATAAGAGGGCACCTCCAAGCCCTGCCTTCCACAGCTTTTTTTTTTTTTAACATTGATTCTGAAAATTGAATTCAGGGTCCCATACTTGCATGACAAGCACTTACAGACTGAGACACCTCCAGCCCCCCAACAGTTTTTTGCATGTGAGTTTGTGCTTTTGTTTGTTTCTTTGGAACCCAGCTGCCAGGTTCTCAGTGTGAACTCTGCAGACATCAACATCTTCTAACCATATAAGAAGACTGGAACTGCCCACTGGAGTCACAAAGTCAAATGCACACACTGAATGTACACCTGGATTCCAGACTGAAGAGCCAGTGAGAACAACAGAAAAGCTCATATGCACTATATTGTTTGGCTAAACATTTACCAAATACGCATGCATTTACTTACTCAATTCTTCTTATTGTGAAATATAGTAGGAGGGCAGGAGGGGAAACGAGGAAAAGGAGGGAACAGGTAAATGAGGATAAGAGGGAAGGGAATGGGCTGGAAAGAGGGGAGATCCACACTGGAGTCGCCAGCAGTGGACACACCCCAAGAACACCCCTGGGATTGCACAGTGAGTTCTGTGTGTGGGTGTGGCTGCAGCTGGTCCAACTCAGGCATGGGGTATCTCACAGCTACATTTATTACTCCTCTGCAATGCCTCCCCCCCCCCAAACCCTTGGCCATGTCCTGGCCTTTGGGAACTGAAGGGGAAGGAACCCTAAAGAAAACGGCCTCAGACCTATCCTTACCCTAAACCTGATCTCAAGGAGAGCCCAACTTCCATAATTCGAAAGCTAACTTCAACCCTGTGTAGCCACTACAGGGTGACCAGCCTGCCAATGTGGAAGGTGGAAAGGAAAAGGGAGGGATGAGGAAGATGCTTTTGGACAGGGAATGGCTGCAGACATCACTTCATCAGAGGGACAGTGGCCCAGAGCTGTCCCAAGAGGTCACTCACACCGGAGGTTGCACTTCTCTGTGAGAGAGATCCGCAGGTAACTGTGTTGCCGGCCAAAGCTGTCTGTGAGGAAGGCGGAGAAGGGAGCTGCATGCTCCTGCAGGAACTGGAGCCTCATGGACAGCCCCTGCAAGGACAGGGACATAATGAAGCCCTTGCTATTGACTTTGGGAGATATGCAAAATGTCCCAGCTGTGGAGAGCTGGGGCAGCCCAGAGCTGCCTCTCCCTTAGCTTCCAGGGCACCTCTAGCCCTTCCAGTCAGCCACAGTAGCTAGCACTGCTCCTCTCACTGACAGATGGAAGGAAAGAAAAGGACCACTGAGATTGTACAGACATCTTTCCTACAGGATTTACCCAAGCCAGGTGCATTCAAGCTGGAGGTGGGTGGGAATTCTAGATTCTTCTTTACAGTCCCCATTTTTGCATACCCTATCCGGTGCTAGAAGGATTAGTCAGCCATTGTGAGGCCTAGGGGAAGATTGCTACAGGCTCAAGAGAGGAGGTACCTAAAAGAAAGTTTGGGGCAGAATGCTAGCTACAGAGAATTAAGTCATTAGTGAGTCATTCCAGGTTGCAGTTCGTCATGGCCAGAGGTGCTCTCCCTTCTAATTTAACTTGTGGTTGCGCAAAGACAGGGGAGGAACCAAAGTAAATCCAGGAACTGGGAGTGAGAGGACCAAGGAACATGACTCAGCAGAAACCTGAGAGCAAGCCTGGCCAAGGAGTAATTAAGGGGCTGGCCATCAGCCCAACCATCCAACACACACCCTACCGAACTCCCAGCTGGCCAAGCAAATTTATCACTTGGAGGCAGCAAGGCCCATCCCTGACTCTTTTCTCCTCCTACACCTCATGACCTACTTCCACCCCAGGCCACTTTTCCTCTAGCCTCCTGGAGGTGGAGCGAGCCTCTCCCACCCAAGGGGTCCAATGCTGCCCACAGTACGGCAAACCGCTGTGTAACATCTAGGCCCGCATCTAATGAAAAATGATAGCTGCAAACCCAGCTGCACAGAACCACTCCCAGACAGGTCTCTGTCAAACGGCTTAGCTCCATCTCAGTTCTCAATGCTGGCAACAGATTTACTGCAGAGCTTTCAGGATAGCTGCAGTCCTGCTGACTTCCTCTGAGGGCTGAGAGCTGCACTGTGCAGCCAGGGCCGAGGAAACTTTTAACCCAGAAGTGACAATCCTGGTTCTGAGTGCAGATTTGGGGACAAGTAACCCTGAATTACAAACCTGGTTCTAGCGATGGACCAAGCACCCAGATCCTTTTTTTTTTTTTTTTTTTTTTTAAGTTCCAGGCATGTCCCTGTTTTTGGATGTTGCAACATGACCTTGCCATCTACAAAGTTTATTTGCTCAAGAATCACCCACCCCATAATTTTTAAGTTCTGACTTTGTGTTATCTTGGGGCACAGGCAGATTGCAGGTTGTGTAATGGGTATGGCCAAAGGACTAAGGCCATTCTAGAGACACCGTTCCTCAATGTCTACCTGGACTGTTGAGAAAAGGTACCCCAGAGAATTGGAGTTTGCCCCCAAGGGTCTCATGTTGGGAGAAGGAAAAGATGCCAGGCAGAGGGGAACCTTGCCTTCCTACAGTGACTTCACACCATGTTATAACCAGCCAGACTACTTTGCCTCAGACTGGGGCTGAGACAATGACAGGTCAGTGATGGACAGGACCACAAACATGCCCAGGACTGCTCAATTATGCACACTTCTTGCCTCCTAGTTGAGCGTATACCTCATGTCAGCACCCCAAACACAGGCTTGTTGGGGGAGGTGTCCACTGAATCTCTTTGTCCCTCTTTCTTAAGTGGCCACATTAAATAAAACTTTTTTTTTTTCTGTTTTTCACTATTAATTTGTCTTCTTGAGGACAGTGGCCAAGCCTGACCTGCCTTCAGTGGGGCATGGGCTCTGACATGACTTCACAACAGTTGGATGCCTGCTTAGCTTCCTCTTCTGCAAAGTGGAGACAAGCCATCTAATTCAACGCAAGTGTCCCTAACAGTCAGTGACTGTATGTGACTGCCATCTGTGATGGGTGACAGTGTCTACCATCTCGATCTAGAAGTGCGTAGGAGACAGGCCCCTCTAGGCATGTGAGAGACTATCTAGATTAGATTAACTGGGGGGGGGGAGTAAAGTGCCCGCTTTACAGCGTGAGGGCCTGAGTTCAGTAACCAGAACCCATGTTTTAAAAGCTAGGGAGAGAGAAACAGGCACATCCCTGGTGCTCACTGGCTAGCCCTGGTTCCTAATAACAGACCCTGTCTCTAAAACAAAGTAGATGGCACCTGAGGAATGACACCTGAGACTGCATCATGGCTTCCAAACACAGGAACACATGAACATATATACATACCACATACTACAAACACACACACACACACACACACACACACACACACACACACACACACACCTCAAACTATTAAATAAGTACTGCCTCATGCTTGGTCATATGGCTCTCTCCCTTATGCCCTGAGAGTGAGGGTCTTTGCATCTGTGGCTCCCCTGAGACATGGATTTCAAGAAGCTGGGTAGGCTGAATGTGAAGGGGAAAGACCCTCCTGGCACCACCACCCTGTTTTCCTCCTACACCTACTTCCTGTCTTCAACATCCACTTGCCAGCTTGTGGTCCTTTCTAGAACTCAGAACATGTAGGTGACTTTGCCTTACCCACTCACCGGGTCCTTTAACCCCACCACAGACAGCAGGCTCGAGCCTCAGCCTCCAGAAAGTCAGAATAGAGTTCCAGAGAAAGAAAACGCATACCTGGAGCTAAATCTGTTAGGGAAGATGTCTGGCACACCTGAACAATGATGGCAATTCCTCATACTGATCCAAGGGCCCCTTACCACCACCCCCATGGCCAGCTCCCACAGCAGAGCCCTGTGGAGGGCAGGTAGAGAGTCCCTATAGGAAAAAAAGGGGAGGGGGGATGTTGCCCCCTCTGCTCCTGCCCACCGGCAGTTCCGTAAAGAGCTGAATGCATATTCTGACCTCACCGATACTATTCTCTTACAGATGCCCATGCCCTATGCTCCTGTACAACGTGACACGGTATAAGCCTCTGGCTTTATAGACAGAGAGCAAGGGAAAGTAGGAACATAGATTAGAAGCCAGATAAAATTAGAGGCCAACAAAAGATAAGATCACAGGTCTCCTTGTGTCTTGCTCTGTCTGCAGTTCTACCTAACTCATTAAATGTGCTTCAAGCAGCCAAACACAGTCGCTGGCTTGGCTGACTGCATGCACTGTGGGGAACACTGTGGAAATGCTTAGAAAGGCTGAGGGAGCCCTAGCATCCAGGAACTCTCAACTGGTGGAAGGCAGCCCCAACTGCGAGACTCAGAATACCACATCCAATGGCACAGTTGACAGAACGACTGCTCGTCCCAGGTAGGAGGGGCCTAATAGGCCTTACTACAACATTTGCCACAGGCTGAAAGGATCAATAATTACCACACACATCAACATAACTGTACCTCCATTCACCAGGCTGAGCGTATAGATTAACACATGGGGACACTCAGCTCTACAAAACCTCGTGATGAAGACTTTTAACACTCTCATTCTAGAAAACACACACCCTAATTCTCTGAGAGAAAAGGCTCCCATGGCTAATAAGGTGTGGGACTGATTCAAACCCCTGATTCCATTCTGGGGATGGTACTAATCCTGCTATATCAGACATGCCCTCACCATATAAAAGACCCAGTCCAGCATCTGAGGGGAGAGGGCAGCACAGGCGTTAGGGTTATTCAGTTCTCGCTCCTCTGCCTTAGAGGGACCTGAGAGAAGATACACTCAGTTCACATGAGGATGAAAGGCCAGTTAGTCATGTCGCACACGCCTGCTCACAAAAAGGGCAAAATAAACTATGAAGAATTTTTCTTCTAATATCTTTTTTTAAAGCTCTCACAGTGGCTGCTGTTTCCCTAGCTTTTCACTCAATCAGATACAAAGGTCAAGGGTTTGGAAAGCCCTGTAACAATGAGCCTGCTTTATCTCAGGATCCCAGAGAGGCAGGTCTGGTGAAGTGAGCAACTCTGGCATAAGCCTGCCTATATCTTGAGCAAGACGGGAGAGTCAAACATTGTGAAATTCAGAGTCCCCAGCACATCAAACTCAGGAGGCGGAAGAGAAGTAGATGATAGACATGAAAAGGAACAGTTTCCCCCTGCAAGGGTTTCCTTAAAGCTTTACACAAAACAACAAACTTAAAACCTACTGTAACTGGAAACACTCTCAGAGGTGCAACGGAGGACTGAAGGACTGTGCCCCGCACTATGGCTGGAGCTCTTGACCTGGAGCTCGGTCTTGCTCTGTCCCTGACTTAAAATGAGGCCAAACCCTCCCAAGAGAAACAAGATAGGTCACAGAGCCCTGCCGCTACAAACTAACAACAGACTGTGGGTGCACTTGCTAACCATATTTTTAGTCCTTGTCACACTAAGAAGAAGGTGCATCCTCCACTCCCGAGGTGAAGAAAAAAAAAATATATTTAAAAGGTTGGGTGGAAGGGAAGTCTGTGGTCCCTATTTCCTGCAGCGCGGAGACCCGGCTAGGGTCAGGCAGTCCAAGGGAAACTCTGAGGAGTCCCCCCCGCCCCCCCCCCCCGTTGGGTAGGGGTGAACTCAAGCAACCCATCCATGAGTACCCAGGGTCCTCCCCAGAAAAGTACTCCAGGACTGAGGGTGCAGTCTCCACACTCCAGGGCGGCATGCTCGGATAGACCTCCAGGTAGGTGTGTGCAGGTGGGCGGGGTGGGCTCACCTCCCTGGCAGGTCTCGCGGGCTCCCCCGGGCGGGGCTGCGTCACCGGGGCCCCCGAGCTGCAGCCCCGGGCACCGGACCTCAGGAGCCGCCGCAGCATTCGGGACGCAGGCCTTAACGCCATGAAGCAAGCAAAGGAAGTGCCGGGTCTAGAATCGGCCTCCAGAGCACTCTAACCCGGGACTTGGCTCGGGGTCATTTC